GTGCCTCCTCCTCCTCCTCCTCCTCCTCCTCTTCCTCCTCCTCATCCTCCTCCTCCTCCTCCTCCTCTTCCTCCTCCTCCTCCTCCTCCTCCTCCTCCTCCTGTTCCTCCTCCTCCTCCTCCTCCTCCTCCTCCTCCTCCGGTCTCTGCCGCACCCGGAGCGGAGCGTACGGTTTACTCGACAGGCGCGGCTGTCGCCCCTTTTCCTTTGCTTCCTGTCTCTCGGGAGGGGAGAAACACACAGACACACTTGATCGTCGTCTCCCGGGAGAATACGGGCAAACATGGGAAGCGGGGAGGAAGACGAACACCCAGAAAACATGATATAGCATATGGGGGATCCTTGGATTTGTGTTTATTCAGTTGTGTGTCCCCGGGCCCCTTCATTGTCTCTCCTCCGGCAAGGGGGGCATGAGGCGGAGGGCTTTGCCGGGGAGGAAGCAGGCCCGAGGCTCATAAGCCGAGCTTTCTGTTGTTGGGGTGGGACGCTCGCTGAGGGGCAGTGACCGTGATTTGTGTTCCTGGGGCGACGGATGAGTGGGCAATGCTCGTAGGGTAAGAGCAAGCCTCAGCAGACCAATCGTTGGCAAGAGCAAATCTGAGATCTCAGCCTCTTGCGAACGGGGGTCGTAAGGATTGCGATTGACGGATCAAGCGCGCCGGCCGAGTGCGTTGGGATGTGGCCCTGGAGAGAGCGTTGCCCCCCCTCCGCGACCTCCAAGTTCCAACAGGGGGAATAGGCACAGACTTAACTGAGCGCCGATTCCTATTGGACGCATGGGAAGAAAGATATGGATATTGGGAAGGAGGAGGAGGAGGAGGAGGAGGAAAATGAGGAGGTGGAGTAGGAAGAGGAGGAGGAGGAGGAGAAGAAGGATGAGGAGGAGGAGGAACGCTCCTCGGGGAGCTGACTGGGACTCCGCTCGGAACCGTCAGGCCCTTCGGTGGGCCGACTGGGGCTGGGCGCGAGACCGTCGGCTCCATAGAGCGAACAGGGGCTGCGCGCGGACCGCTGGGCTCACGTCGCCACGTGTCGGATGGCTGCCCATGGCCAGCTCAAAGTCGCCACGTACGCTGGACCAGAAGTGCTGGCAGTCCACAGTCGGCAAGGGGCTGGAGATTCGACGACACTTCGGGCAGACCGCAGTCGACATGAGGCCGAGAACGACGTGCTTGCCCGTAACATGGGCACATGACCACCGATGTAGGCAACACCTTCGGGGGGCTCGGCGGCATCGCGCTCGCAGAGCCCTACACCATCATCAAGCCCCCCCTTGGCGGTGAGCGTGCCTACCCCTCGGCAGATGGGCTGGGGGGGGGAAAAGGAGACGGCTCCCCTCTGAGACGGGGCTTGACGGGCGCCCACCCGAGGCCTTCGGAGGCCGTCATCCCCCTCCCATCCTTTCGTGAGGGCCCTTGAGGCGTTCTCTTCCCCCCCCCTCGGCCTGGCCTCGGTACTACGGTGTCGCCTGGCCCCATGCCGTTTCCCCTCCTCGTCTTGAGCCCTGGAGGCGTCCTCCCCCCGTCTCTGGCCTGGGTGGGGGCCGTGTGCGTGCACAGCCGTTTTCGGTCGCTTGGCTCGGCTCTCGCTCGCTCCTGGCGCGCGTTCGTGTGGGGATCGCCTTGTCGTTCGCTCGTCGGTGCGTGCGCGGCACGTCCGAGCACGCAGCCCGCGGCGTCCGCGCGGGGCCGCGCGGGCGGCGCGGGGCTAATTACGCGGATGGACCGCTCGTGGCCCGCAGAGTCAGGAGGAGGAAGGAGGAGGAGGAGGAGGAGGAGGAGGCGGAGGAGGAGGAGGAGGAGGCGGAGGAGGAGGCGGAGGAGGAGGAGGAGGGAGGAGGAGGAAGAGCACGGTCAGATGCTGGGAGCCGTGCCTGGTGCTCCGTGTGCCCCCGGGGGCCCCCTCGGAGATGGGGCGTGGCGTGCGCCGGGGCGCCCCCCGCGCTGCCGCCTGCCCCTCCGGGGGGCCTCCTGGCGCCCCGGGCCGCGGCGCTCCCCGCGGAGGGCCAAGGGGCCATCCCTGAGCGTCCCTCCGTAGGAGGAGTACGGTAGGTTTGCGTCGTGTCGACCAGCGGCGACCCCAGCGCGGGCGTTCAAGGTTGAACGCCGCCGGCGACCCAGAATCGATCGATGTTGAACGATCGGACGTTGCGGCAGCGGCCGATCGTTCAAGGTTGAACGATCCCTGCGGTGTCAAAAACAAACGCTGGGGTCGGCACGACGCGAACCTGCCGTATCCAAAAGTAGTCCAAATATAATAGTACGGGGAGGTTTTTTTACGTGATTGTTGTTGGACATCTTTGATTCTGTTCAGATGTTTATTTTTCTCCCAAAATCCGCCTGCGGGGGGACACCCGACCTAAGTGTAGCTCTCGTCGCCCTGCTGTGAATCCCCCGCCTCGCCCCGCCAGTGGGCGACCTCAGGCGCCACGAGCAGGGTTCGTTGCGCTTCCTCCGGTTCGCCTCGATTCGACTTCGATCGAAGCAGAATCTTACACATCAACAGAAACTTGTGGCGCTCCGCGCGGATTTCTGGGATCCGCGCTGGGCCCCCCTGGCGGCGCCGCCCCTGGCGCGCTCCGCGCGCCAGGGAGGGGGGGCCAGCGCAGATCCAAAAAATCCGCGCGGTCCGTCGACAGTGGATGTTTATGCGATATGTTCCTCTATTCGATGCATTCCGATTCCGTTTTGGGTTCCGATTTGGATCCCGATTTGGATTCCGATTTCTCAATGAGGCATTTTTGCTCAACCGATTTCCATCGATTCGATTCTGCGCGAGACGCGAGCGTCTCGCTCTGCTACTTTGCTCTACTTTGCTACTGCCGGTTCGCCTTTTCGATTCGAATCGATTACGGACTCTCTTGCGCGAGACGCGAGCGTATCCGCGCCCTCGCGGTCTGGATTGTTGGCATCGCTCGGACGTGTGAACTGTTCCGGCGAGGAACATCGAGGAGCATTCTGGGCCCTCCTGCGAGAAAGGCGCGCACGACACGGACAAAGGCATGGGGAGTGAACGTCCGAGCAATGGCAGGGATTCCGGGGCGCTCCCGCGCATACGCGGTCGCACGGATATTTGGGGGAGGGAAAGGGACTCATACCATTGGCCTTGTATCGCTCCCCCTTTTTGGGCCTCCTGAGAGGCCCTGGTCACCACCGCTGGATTCGCCCCAGAATTCTGGTCAGAACGCACCCCGGGAGAGGTCCAGGAAGTAGCGGCATCGTAACATTTTTGATTCCCCAGGCACGGGTCTCAGACGCAGACCCCTTCGGGTAATGAACACATCGCTTTTCAGCTTTTTGGTGCCCGCGTCCTTATTATACGGGTTGTTTGTAGTCCTCGATGGCGCTTCTGTTCATGATTCCATCCTCCTAGTGTCCACGCAGCCTTTTGCGCATGGGCATGGGTTATTCTGTGGGTGGGCGCACATGCTTGAACCGTTTCTCCGAATAGTCTGTCAGTTTTGGGCTGGCAAGCATTTGCACGGCAGGCAGGCATATTATTCTTAAGGAGAAGCATCGACAATACGGAGCCCGAGTGCAACAAGTGTCGCAGTAGTGTGTTGAGGGCACGTGGGAGGAATGAGGAGGGAAGAGACGAAGGGCGAGTCAGAAGGTGGAAGACGACAGCAGCATTGTGGGTTCACTGCGCCGCCACAGATGCGCCGAACTTCTTCCTGAAGCGCTGGAGGACCGCCCGCCTGCAGAGCAGTGGCGACGACCGTGGCCGCCGTGCCGTGCTCTTCAAGAGCGGAGGCCCAGGCGAGGCTGCACTCGTGGAGATTTGCATGGAGATTTGCATGGCCCGCGGTCGTCGCCCCAAGTTCGATGGTGTTGTAGTCGGCAAAGGGCCTTGGTCGAGTTTGGACCCCGAGGACTAGACGTAGCTTCCCACTTCCCCATTGTTTCCCTGTATGTGAGACCCAGCGTCGTACGTACATACATATGTACGTATGCATGCGTGTACGCATGCATGTGTTTCTCATGTATATGTGTGTGCCTGTGTATATGTACACATGTGTGCACGTCTGCATGAATATATGTATGCATGCATGTACGTATGTATGTGTGTAGGTATGCATTAATGCATGCATGCACTCTTGCATGTATATGTGTTTCCATGTAGGTATGTATGCGTGTACGTATATGTGTGTACGCATGCATGCATAGGTGCGTGTATGTGATGATTACAAGCCAACACGATGGTCGCCCCGTCAGGGAGGCGAGGATCATCGCGTGTGGCCCTGCTCGATCTCTGGGCGGGAGGGCTGCGATTCCACGGCTGGGGTGGCGGTCTGGGGCTGGTGTTCAGTATCGTTTAACCGATCCTTATCCCCATCCAAATCTACATTTGGAGGGTTTCCCCGAAGGGCTTAGGTGACCCGTCCGCCTCTCTCCTCCTCCTGCCCTTCCCCCTCCCCCTCCTCCTCCTCCTCCTCCTCCTCCTCCTCCTTGCCCTCCCCTCTTCGGGTCGCCTACGGCCCCGGGGTAAACCGTCCATCCCCATCCCCATCCACATCTCGAGCCCCACCGTCTCACCACCTCAGTTGGGGATATGCCCCTCGAAACCCGAAGACAGCAGCCTATGCCCCCATCCAGGGGGGTAAATCGGCCAGTGGGGCCCAACCCACGCTTGTGGTGGCGGCGTGGGAAGCGCGCGGAGAGCCACGCGGCGTTTGGCGAGACGTCGGGCGACCTGAGGGGGGCACGCGTTCTGGCGTCGCGGCCCTGCACGCGGTGGCAGGGCGGAGGAGGTCGTAACGCAGCGAGCCCGCGCGCGACTAGGAACGCCCGAGCCCTCAAAGACCGCTGAGGGTCCTGCAGCAGCCAGCCGCCGAGGGGGAGGCACGCGTGCATGCCTGCAACGTCGCGCCGCCCCCCCATTGTATGGGCATGTGCTGGTGCGCCATGGGGCGCTTCTGTGTCTGGTGGCGGGCATGTGCTGCAGTGTTTATTTGCACACGTGTCCTCTTCCACGTTCTCTGTTCCCATCCTCTCTGCCACTTGCCTTTTTCATCCTGCCCTTCCCTCTTTCCGGCTTTCCCTCATGTTCCCCAAGCCTCTCTCTTACCAGCTCCCACCCTCTTTTCTTTCTTACCCTGCGCCTTCTCCCTCAGTCATCCATCCTTCCTCTCTCCCGCCCCGTCCCCCGTCCCCGCCGTCCACTGCTCCCCATCCTCTCTCCCTTCCTCGACTTGCTCATCCCTCATCCGCCCTGCCTGCAGACATGTGCATGTATATGCATGTATGTATATATAGATATGGATGCAGATGGTATTTGCATGTGTACACTTACACACAACCATAAACACATACATGGGCTACCGCGCAATGACTATACTTACATACATGGGTGCATACATACACACATGTATATATAAACATATGTATGTGTGTATTCGTATGCGTGTCTGCGCGTGTATAAGCAGGATGAGCATATATGTTCATACACCTGTATACATGCATGGTTATGTGTATGCCTAGAGATGCCTCCCATTGTATATCGACATACGCATGCTTGCATCTCTATGTTCGTATGTATGAACGCACGCATGTAATGCAATGGAGTAAGCTGTAATGTAATGCCATGTGCTGCAATGTGTTGTAATGCCACGTAATGTCATGTATTGTCGTGTACTGCTGTCTATGTGTGTATGTATGTATGATTGTACCTGCGTGCGCACGCACGTGCGTACGCCCGTACGTATGCAGGTATGCATGCATGCATGCATGTAGGTAGGTATGCATGTGTAAATGTACATATGTTATGCATGTGCGCAGGTATGTATGTATGCATGTAGGTACGTATGTATGGATGTATGTATGTATCCATATATGCATACACTCGTGTATGTATGTTTGTATCCACGTAGGTATGTATGTATAGAAGTATGCACACCTGCATGATCACATGCATGTATGTATGTACGCATGCATGCATACATGTATGTATGTATGTTTGTGCATCTGCATATACCTATAGCGGAAGACCTCGTCGGGGTCGGGGGAGGACGGGGCCATGACCATTACGACAAGTGTGTGTGTGTGTGTGTGCGTGTGTGCGTGTGTGTGTGTGTGTGTGTGTGTGTGTGTGTGCCGGGGGCCGTGCCCGCCTTGGGGCGACCCAAAATCGCCCCGGAGAGCCACCATACAGCCGTCCAATTGGCCCACGACGGCCCCGAATCTCTCCCAAGACTGCCTCCAGGGGTCTGTCTGACGGCTCAAGTCCGCCTGCGGACGCGCTCCAAACAGCCCCGACGAGCCAAAAACCTCCAAACACCTCAGGGGAATCGATGAATTGTGCCGTCTCGCCTTTCCCCCTCCGATGGGCTCCTGAGTTTTCAAGATCGCCCCCCCGGAGCCCCACGACGCCCCCAAAAAAGTTCCCAAGAGGCGACAAGAAGCTCCAGAAGGCCCCTCAGCATCGGGGGGTCTCCAGCAGGTCACTCGGTATGCCCCTCGCGGACGGGCGTGTCAGGCTGCTGGGCCGACTTGCAGGTGAGCTCCGCCTGTGGACATCATCGCCTCTGCTTTTCAAGACCGCTTTGTTCTCGGACCGACCAACATAGGACGAAGAGATTTGCAGGTGACGCCCACATATTTTCAAAGATGCGGTTTCCGCTCATGAGTGTTCAGGAGCTGGTCGATCGTGTTCTCCCTCCATCCTGCTTTCCAGACTATCCTTGCCATTTCTTTTGATTGGTCTGCGACGGAGAGTTTTCAGCGGGTCACTCGGTATGCCAATCGCGCACAGGCGTGTCAGGCAGCTGGGCCGATTTGCAGGTGACCTCCAGCTGCAGACCGCATCGCCTTTGCTGACCAACATTGTTTTGTTTTTGGACAGGCCAGACTTTTGTTCCGAAGAGAGCGCTCCAGGGCCGCGTGAGCCGCAGAGACCAAGGATTATCTCGCCAAGCACAGCCCCAAGACCGTAACAGGCATCCAATGAAGCTCCTTCCAACGGCCCTCTAGACGGCCCCAAGACCGTGGTGGCGGAATCTGCCGTGAGTAGCAGCGAGGGGTGGAGGGCTTCGGAGGCACTGCGGGAGGGATGGCGGATCGAAGGAAGGGAATGAAAGAGAAGGAACGGGAGGCGGAAGATGGGGTGGAGAGATTGGAAGTGCTTGAGGGTAGGAGAAGGCAGACTGAGCGGCGATTCGGATTTATCGCGTTGCATACGTGGGGGCAAGCAGGGGGGACACTTTTCGCGTAATTAGTGTACGAACGCTGTGCTGTTCATGACGCGCGTTTGGTTCGCACTCGTCTCTCCGATGCTGCACACTGTAGAACCTGAGCGCGCGCGAAGCGCGTGCTTGGTTCTTGTGTGTATACATTTTCCTTACATTGGTTATATGATTTTTTGTATTGTCGTCACCTTGACCCCCCCCGGCCAGAACCTCCAGGATGCTCCAGGTGCACTTTGGACGCCCCTGCTGGATCTAGGCTCACATCGGTCAAAAGGGTGACCGAATGGCCCCGCGATTTCCCATGGTTTTCATATGATTTTGGGAATGATCTGTTTTCGGTCTTCGGGCGTCCGAGACCGCCCAGGAGGCTTGATAATCGGTCCACGACGACTGAAAATGGCTTTGGGGCAGTCCAAGAGAGCCCCAAGAAGGCTCAACAGGGTCCGAGCCACATGACGGCCCAAGATGGCCCCACGACGCCCCCCGAACCAGTCCAAATCGTGACCCGGTCGTTCAGGGAGACCGCAGTTGGGAGCGGGGTGGCCCGAGGAAGCCCCAAGGGGCCCCCAGAAGGCGCCCAGGATGCTTCCAGAAGGCCCCAAGAAGCCCGGCAACATTTTCGTGAGGCCCCAAAGAAAGAGGCTCTCCAAGGAGAAACTTCCTCAAAAAGAGCTGAGGAGAATGGGGAATCATTCGCAGGGTAGAGCGAGTATGAGGAAGAGGCAGAGGGAACATGAGAGAAGGACAGCGCAGCAGATTCTTAGACGATATCGGAGCAGAAAACAAGGACTTATCGCTCACTTGTTGGTTTTCCCTTCCAGCCCTTCTGTCTGCATGCCGATCTCTTCAAGGACCAAGGTGCATGGCGCGAAGCGCCAGTCTTGCATACAGATAGGTAAGTGCAGTATCTGTATGTATATATATATATGTATTTATATATATACATGTACATATACATACATACATCTTCACACATATTAGCCTTTAGCCCATCCCGCCACCCTGGCTGGGTTGTGGGCCATAAGCCTCTACGTTTTTTCGCTGGGATGTCGCGGGCGGCCTCTCGAGGGCCTCCTGGGGGCGGTTGTGAGGCGACCTCTTGGGCATCTTGTGGGGCCTTTTCGATGCCTTTTGGGGCCTCCTCGGGGCCCCTTGGGGCGGAAGACTCGCGTGTTCGGTTCGTGTTCGCTCTCGTGGGCCCGTCTTGGGGCTCTCTATGGGCCCTCTTGGGCCGTCTTGGGGGTCGCTTTTGGCTTCTTGGGCCGTCTTGGAGCCCTCTTGGGCCCTCTTGGGCCCTCTTGGGCCGATCTTGGGGGCCTCTTGGGCCGATCTTGGGGGCCTCTTGGGCCGTCTTGGAGCGTCGGGAAGCCGAAAAGGTGGAAACGCCCAAATCTCTCCAAAACCTGAGGAAAGGCAATCTCTTGGGGCCTTTTTGAGAGTGCTCTTGGAGGCTTCCTGGGCCGTCTGGGGGCCACCTTGGGCGTCTTGGAGAGATCTGTGGAATCTCGGAGCTCTCTTGTATCATCTTGAGGTGTTCTTGGCGGCCTCTTGGCCTTTCTTGGGGCTCTCTCGACGGCCTCGAGGGCGGCGCCCAGGAGAAAACCATCTCTGACCCGAGTCGCCCAGGACCTGCCCAGGGTACTTTTCGCCCGGGGACCCCCAGGGGCCGCCCCGCGCGGGCGAAGTAGAGTTATTGTAAAGCAGTTGCCGGAGATCTCAGCACGCCTCTGGCCCGTTGGGCCGGCGAATTTGGTTCTGGTAGGTTTCAGGGGTCTCGATGGACATTTGGCGTGGTTCTACGAGGAGTGGGGAAAAGAATGGCACGGGGAGATGAAGGGGGAAGCGCGAGGAGGAGGAGCATGAGGAGGAGGGAGGTGGTTGGAAGAGGAGGAGGAGGAGGAGGAGGAGGGAGGAGGAGGGCGGAGGCGGAGGAGAAGACTGAGAAGTGGGTGTGGGAAAGGGAGGTGCAGGGAGGAGAGTGAGGAAAAGGCGGGTAGGCGGACTAACGAGGTAGGGGATCAGGAGGTCGGGGGGAGCGAGCGGGGAGGCAGTGAGGCGAGGAGTGGCCCGCCCACGCACGGCCGCCAGGATAAAGTTCAAGCAGCGGCACGGCGTCAAGAGGAGGGCTCCCTGGTTCCATCTCCCTCGTCCATCCCTCCTCTCCCCCCCCTCTCTCTCTCCTCAATCCCATACCCCCCCATGTTGCCCCCGCACACATCATCCCTTCTCCCTCGCCCCCCCCCATCCTCCCACTGTCCACTTCGGTCACCCCCTCTCTTCCCCTTCTCCCCGCTTCCTTCTTCTTCCGTCTCCCTCATCCCCCCTCAACCTCCCCCCTCCCCCCATCCTGTTCGCGATCCACTCCCCATCCCACCCGCATGCGCCTCCTGCATCCTCCTCTCTCCTCCCTTCTCTTCCTCCTCCCCCGTCCCCGCTCCTCCCAGGCGGGTGCGCAAGCACTACCTCAGCAACTGGATTCCCTGGCTGTGGCGCGCGCAGAAGGCCCTCCCCCAGCGCTTGCTCGCCGCCCCCCCTCTGCCTTTCCGCGCTGGACCTGCGGCGTTCGGGCAGAGACGTGCGGCCAGAGTCGCCATGGGGCAAGCGGGTCCAGAGAGGGAAGTGTGTCCTACCAGCATGAGGCATCTCCGGGTCCCCCCAATGCTTGGCATCGCGGCAACGCCAACGTTCACCAGTCAACGAGAACAACGTTGATTTCGTCGTTATCGTTGTCGTTGTTCCCGTTGTTATCGTTGCCGCTGTTATCGTTGTCACTATCTTGCGCGCCCAGATTGGGCCCCTCCGCGACCCCCTCGAGGCTCGCACCCGAAAGGTCGCTATTGCATAGGGTCGCACTTCTGCGTGTAGCCGAAGATTCGGGGAAACACCTCGGCCTCGAGGATCGATGGCCTTCTAGGATGCAACTCCTGGGAGGTTGAATTCCGTATCGGCGCAAGTATTGTCGCGGTCGCGGTCGATAATCGGCTTAATTTGGGCTGGTTCAGCCGAGTTCAGCCACATTCCGCGTCAACCCGGCTCAATCCGATTTCATTTTTGGGTTTCATCCAGCTTGATCCAGTGAGTTGGCACCTCAATCGGACTCAGTCGCCCCTCAGCGTGCCAGCGAGAACCTCCCCAGGAGTTGCCTCCGAAGGTCTCGAGGGTCTCTGTAGGCCTTGGGGTCCTCCCCGAGCCGCCCGTGCCCCGCGCGCTCCTTCCCATCGGCCTCCTCGAGACCTGGCGGGACAGGGACGAGGATAGGTCCGTTCCAGAGCGTTCCGTAATGCGCTCCGAGCCTCTCGGAACGCTCGGAGCAGGCCGCGGCGCCAGAGACATCCTCCAGAGCCGCGGGATCTCAGAGATTCTCGGATTGATCCTCGCCCAAATTTGTCCTCGCCCTGGCTTCGTCCTATCGGCGTCACCCCAACATATTTATACTATATGTGCGTCGCCCCCCCAGGGGCGATGCGCGCACCGAGAAATCTTCTGGTATACGCGTCGTGTCGGGTGCATTCTGGCCACACCGCTCGGGAAACGATCTACTACGAGATGGGGGTACCATATGTGCGGGCCGGACGCGCGCCTCCAAGGAATACATATATATATATATATATATATATAGATGTAGATGTAGTACTAGTATGTCTCTGTGCGTCCCATCTTGGTCCCCCCGCGCGCTCCTTCCCATCGGCCTCCTCGACAGCGAGCGCGGGCGCGCGCGGGCGCGCGCGGGGGGTCGGCGCGCGGAGGTGGCGCAGCCGCCGCCGCTGCTGGTCCACGCGAGGAGCGGCGACGTGGCGGCGCAGGACGGGCCTCGTCCTGCGCCGCAGTACGGGCCTCGTCCTCCTCCTCCTCCTCCTCCTCTCTTCCTCCTCCTCCCTCCTCCTCTCTTCCTCCTCCTCCCTCCTCTCTCATCCTTTCCTCCTCTCCTCCTTCCTCCCTCCCTCCTCCTCCTCCTCCTCCTCCTCCTCCTCTCCTCCTCCTCCTCTCCTCCTCCTTCCTCCTCTTTCTATCCTCCCCTCCCTCCTCCTCCTTCCTCTCCTCTCCTTCTCTTTCTTCCTCCTCCTCCTCCTCCCTCTCTCCTCCCTCCTCCTACCTCCTCCTTCTCCTCCTCCTCTCTCCCGCCTCTCCCTCCTCTCTCCTCCTTCTCCTCCTCCTCCTCCTCCTCATCCTCCTCCAGCAGCGGTGTCTACGCCACGCCCTCCTGCCTTGGCAAGGACGGCGTACTCCGGATCCCTTGATAATCGTCCCCCGGGTCCAGTTTATTAAGGCGCATTTTGGGGAAGCAGGGGGGTCCGGTTTATTAAGGCGTTTCTTGAAGCCGACGTTCAGGGGGGGTCCGGTTTATTAGGGCGCTTTTTGGGTACTAGCCCGCGGAGTACTAACCATCATCATCATCAGCATCATCATCACCGTCGTCATCGTCATCGTCATCGTCATCATCAGGTTCATCATCACCAACATCATCATCAGCATCATCATCATGATCATCATCATCAACAACATTTTCAACATCATCGTCAAGATCCTCATCATCGTCGTTATCACCATCATCACGATATGATGCGGCGGTGGCAATGAAGGTACTTCTGATGGCGATGACGACTATCGTTGTCGTTGTCGTCGTCGTCGTCGTTGTCGTTGTCGTCGTCGTCGTCGTCGTCGTCGTCGTAGTCGTAGTTCTCGTATCGTCGTCGTCGTCGTCGTCGTCGTGGCGCTCGCAATTTTGCTGGGGGGGGTCCGGAATATTAAGGCGCCCTCTGCGGGAGGGGGTCCGGAAAATTATGTCGCGAAGGAAGGGGGGGTCCAGTTTTTTAGGGGGGGGTCGATTATTAAGGGATCCAGAGTATACACAGCTCCTGCTCCGTCTCCGGGTTCGGCCGCCTCGGCCGAGGCTCTGAGACATCCTCGCACTTTTGGGCTTTGGGATGCCGCCCCCGAGGTGACCTGATGCCGTGCCTGAGGCGATTTGGCCAGTTTCGCTTGAGACGGCATCCCGCAACTTTGGACACAGAGGTGCCGCGTGCGAGGATGTCCAGCCAGGTTCGCCTGAGGCTGTACGAAGAGGGAGAGTAAGAGGAGGATGACAGGATAGTGCTCGTATTACATACAGTCGGCGGAGCACCCGTGTTTTTCGTCGCTGTCGGGACGCGTCTCGTCGCCAGAGCTGGACGTGGCTCGGAGGGTGGCGGGGCGACCCTGGGTGCCAGGGTCGCCTTGTGGGCCGGGATTTGCATTTTCCAGAGGCGGCAACCCCAACGGCGGTGTCGGGGAGGTGCCGGGGATGGGTTGCCCGCAGAAGAGCTCGCGGAACCCTATGGCCCACGGAGGCTTCTCTGGCTGTGCCGCATGGCAGGGCATGTGCGTCAAGATGTTGCTGAACATTTGCGGGGCCCGCGATTCCTGTACGGAATGTAGGAGAAATCGTATGTTGTCAGAGTTCTTCGGGGCACCTCAATGTGTGAGGGTATCTCAGGCGAAAGCAAAGCTCTTGAAGGTACGTCGAATTTTGAAGCTCTCTGACCCTACCCTTTCGATTGGGGATGTCTGATGCGAAACGCCTCGCCAAACCGAGTTCGATGTCAACATTTCATTTTTTCAGGAGCGTCTGATGAAACAAAAACATCAATTGTTGATCACCAGCGTAGTAACGCGACTCCTCCAGCATTCCCACTGCGAGAGGATGTCTGAGGCGAAGAGCCCTCCCCCAACACCATGTCAGATATCCGATGCCCGATCTCCAGCATACTATGAATTTGAGAATGTCTCAAGCGAAAGTTGTTTGTGTGATGACCAGCCTCGTAAATCAACTCCTTCAATATCCCCACGCTGTGGGGATCTCTCAGGCGAAGCAGCCCCCCGCACCATGTCTGGATAGTTATCCGACGCCCGATCTCCAACATCCCAGTTGCCCAAGGATGTCCCAGGCGAGAACTCCTACTTTGAGAACCGACGTCGACAAAACAACTCCTCCAACGTCACTATGCTGTGAGGGTGTCTCAGGCGAAACGCCCTCTCTTCCCCTCACCACACCATTTGGGGTATCCGACGCCCGATCTCCAACATTCATGGTTTTGAGGATGTGTCAGGCGAAAGAGAACACATCGTCGAACAACAACTCTTCCAGCATCCCCATCTTGTGAGGATGTTTCAGGCGACGCGCTCCCCCATGCCATTCAGGATATCAGACCTCTGATCTCCGACACCTGGTTTCTCTGGGGATGTCTCTGGCGATAACTCAATTTTTGAGAACCGACGGTCGTAAGACACATCCTCAATTTGCGAGGATGTGTCCAGCGAAACGTTCCTTCTCCTCCTCATCCTCCTCCTCCTCCTCCTCCTCCCCATCCTCCTCCTCCTTCTCGTCACCCTCCTCCTCCTCCTCCTCCTCATCATCATCATCATCCTCATTCTCGTCACCCTTCCAGTCTGGGACCGCAGGCCCGACAACGCAATGAGAACCTTGGGCCCAAGCCCTTGCTGGACACAGCTGCTGGTGAGCGTCTAAAGATCCATAAGATGATGGCATGAACTCGTTCTGCTGACCGTTTGGAAGTGACAGCGAGGGTGACTGGGCTCGACACCCCTCATCATCCTCTGCACAGAACACTTTGCGCTCTCATGCGTTTATCAACGTTCATCAGTTTTCCGGAGTCCCTTGGAAACGATTGGACGAAGTTTGCGCGCGTTTCGTCGCGCGCGCGTGCGTAAACCCTTCAGACTCATGTGTGTTGTATGGAGTTCAATTGAGCACTTCCCGGAAAGACAGAACAACATAATGTTTTGCAATTTGATGAAACATTGAAGCAGATAATCAAACGACAGAGGGTCTGCGCGCGCACCCTTGCTTATCCTTAAGGACGACATGGTGTTTTTTTAACATTTTCATCGAATGAGACCTTACTTGCCTCTGGCACGCGCTAGCCGAAATCATTTGAACGCCCTTGGCGTGCGTGCTGGGGCGACACAGACCTTGTCAAATAATACCACGCGGCTCTCGCGACCGTCGGCCTCGCGCGCATGTCGAAATCCGCCTGACACCTTCATCGCCGACACGTGTACACCATCACCGTCGTCGGTGTGATCAGCATCGGCCGCGTCATTGGCCTTGCCATTGTCATCTTCATCGTCGTCACCAGCATCGTTACTATCATGATCGTGTCTGCCGTTGCCGATGTCGCCATCATACCGCGCCCGCCCGAGTCACCGACTCGGACCGAGGTGCCCGCGCATCAGCGCGGTCTGCCAGACGCGCCGGGATGTCTCCACCAGTCAGTGCCACCGTTGCCGCGTCGGTCGCGCCAGACTAGCTGGCCGCTCTGTGCGCGAGCGTGCCAGGACTGTCCAGGCTAGTGGGGCTGCAGCAATGCGCCAGCCAGCGCCAAACAGTTATCGCAATCGCGCCGCATACGTTTTTCAAACCAAGTTTGCGGGCGGGCGGGTGGGATTACATCGCGAGCAGTTGAGTTAACGTTTTAAAAGACGGCAGGGCGAATTGCACCACATGGGTTGCACAACATAGGTGGCACAACCAAGATTGCGCAACGACGCGAATTTCACAGCGTGGGTCGCTTAACGTAGATTGGACCACAGAGGTTGCCCCACATAGATTGCAGATCCGCGATGGCTAGAAACACATTATTTGGGGCCTGGGCTGCCTAGCACATGTTTGCGCTCGCTCGTGATTGGGTGAGCGCGGGCGAGCGATCCCCCCCTCCACACCATCCTCGTCGCCACCCTCCAGGTTTGCGTTGTTTTTCCTCCCCGTCGTCCTCCCCTCGTCCTTCCCCCCTCTCCCCGTCTCCTCGCCGCTCCCTCTTCACCGTCGTCCTTCACTCCTCTTGTGCATTTTCGCGCGATCTTTTTTCGTGCCGATTTCTGCTCCCGCGGTTCGCTTCTTTCGTCGCTTCCTTCGTCGCATCTCCGCATCTCCTCGGCCCCTGTCCGTCGGCCTCCTGCTCAGTGTCGGGCCCTTTGTCGTGGTTCGCTCGGCCCTGCCCGCGCGTGTGAAAACCAGCGCGGCACTGCATATACGGTACATGTGTATGTTTGGCTATGTCTAACGCATTCCTTATGGATTGCATGGATTGCCCATCAGCTGCGCATTTTAACACGACCGACATTGGCTGGATGGCCGCTGCGTCCGTGACTGTCCATGGCGTTTTGCCCATGGCTGTCATTTTTACCAGCTGCGTGCTCCTACTCCTCGTCCTCCCCGCCGCCCCCTCATCTTCGGCCTGATTTGTCCCCTCGTCCTCCTCGACCTGATCCCCATCGCCCCCTCCCCGCTACCCTCCACCCCCCCAACCGGCTCCGACGGTGCAGGACAGGCAGCTGCCGGCGCGGCCCTACTTCTTCCGCGGCGTGTCGCATTGGCTGTTCCCCAGCAGGCGGGGAGTTCCCGCCCCGGGGAGGGGCGGGGGGGGCTTCCTGACGGGCGTGCCGGCAGCGGAGGAAGGGGGGGAGGAGTGACGACGGGAGGGACGGAAGGGGGCAGGATGGAAGATCCAGAGTCGGCGCGGCAGTATATCCGTGGGCGAAACCTGGCCTGACCTGGCGCAATCCCTGGCAATCTGGCTCAGCCTCGGGCTCAAACTCGTATACTCTGGCCCACTGGCCCCCCAGTGTTGTGCAGCTCTACTCGTTCTCACGAAGACTTCCCAGGAATTGCGTCTCTCGAACCTCGAGCCCCGAGGCTCGTCTCTCAGCAGCGAAGGAAGGACGTACACGTACCGAACACGTACATGAATCCGCATTGGTGTCGAGAGTACGTAGTGCGCGAACGTCCGAGTCATTGGGCTGGTCTCGCGGGCCGGGGGGCAGTGTTCATGTACGTGGTTGTGCGCGTACGTCTTTTGGGCTCCCTACCCTCCAGGCGGAGCGGCTTCAACCTGCTGCGGCGGACGTCCTCGGGACACTGGAAGGGCGTGCTGCGGCAGTTCCGGCTGGTGGACGCCGTGCGCCCGCGCGCTTAGGCGCCACTGCGCGGCATTTGCGCCTCGGCTCCTCTGGTCCTTGGGCAGCAATGCACTGGATCCTCGTCGTCATCCTCGTCCTCCTCTTCCTCCCCCTCCTCCGCCTCCTACCCCTCCTTCTCCGCCTCCTCCTGGTCCTCCGCCTCCTGGTCCTCCGCCTCCTCCCTCCTCCTCCTCCTCCTCCTCCTCCTCCTCCTCCTCCTCCTCCTCATCATCATCATCATCGTCCTCCTCCCCCTGCTCATCCTTCTCTTCCCTCCTCCCTCCGCGAGCCGTGGCGAGAGAGTGCGTTGGCGTGCGCTGGTGTCTGCTAGTCGGTGGAGAAGCGCCGCGTTTTAGCGTCGAGGTAGCGTCGATTAGCGACGATTCCCAAGAGCGTTAGCGTGCCCGAGCGTATGCTAGTCGATAGGGAAGCGCCGACTTAGCGTCGACGTAGCGTCGACTCGCGTCGGTTAGCGTCGGCATGGGAGGCTCCCATGGGTTGCCACCCGAAGGGTCTTCATGGCCTTCCTTCTGGTCGTCCCCCTCCTCTGTCAGAGGAGCAGGATATCCAGATGGATGCGTTCCAACATGTAGAAGTTTTCAGGGACTCCAGGATCCCAGTTGTACCGCACAGGCTCCAAAAGGGAGGGCGGCTAGATATTCCAGATGTTCCAGAAACGCATCCTGAGCCAATCGCATCATCATCATGTCGTTACTGTTGTCCTAGCTTCGTGCTTCTGACGAGGCCCCCACTCGTCCCAATAGACCCAACTGGGCGCCTTGGGCGGGTCGGAACCCATCAGAACTTCAGCCCGCCCACATCGCCCGCGGGGGCGTTCAAGCGCCGGGTCCCCCCCCCAGCACCTCCACATGACGATCTCCTATGTCGATTGTTTGCCGCTCGTAGGGCAATTTGGAGGAAGGCTCGTGGCGTGTAGATGTGTCACCCCGCGATGCAGTCGCGTCTTGTTTTTTGTCCCCCTTACGTCACGTCCTGAGTGCTTCTCGCCTCTGTTGCCTCCCCCGCGTCCTCCTCTGCTTTCTGTGCCTCCACTGGTTCCCGGCGCGTCTCGCCCCTAGCCCGATTGGTGCCTGCACTTGTAACGGCTCGCTTGCGCCCGCTGGCTAAGAAATTAGTCCTAGCCGGCCGCTCTGCGGTTGATCGGGAGTTTCTGTATATAGAAGAAGGTGCGTGCGCCTGTTGGCGAGGGTGAGGATGAGGTTCCTCCTCCTCCTCCTCCTCCTCCTCCTCCTCCTCCATCCTTCTCTTGCCTCCGTCTGTCCTCCTCCACCCCGCAGCTCCATCATCTCCTCCTCCTCCTCCTCCTCCTCCTCCTCCTCCTCCTCCTCCTCCTCCTCCTCCTCATTCCTCCTCTGGGCACCTCCCCCGGGGCGCGGATCCACCAGATCTGTCCGGATCTGTCCGGAAACGGTGCCGGAGGCCGCTCTGGGCTCCTCTGGGCACCTCCCCCGGGGCCGGTTTTGTGAGGATGTCTCAAGCGAGGGCGCCGGTTTGGGATTCGTCACCGGATCCAGCGGATCCAGCGGATCCACCGGATCTGTCCGGAAACGGTGACGGAGGCCGCTCTGGGCTCCTCTGGGCACCTCCCCCGGGGCCGGTTTTGTGAGGATGTCTCAAGCGAGGGCGCCGGTTTGGGATTCGTCGGCGGATCCACCGGATCCAGCGGATCTGTCCGGAAACGGTGCCAGAGGCCGCTCTGGGCTCCTCTGGGCACCTCCCCCGGGGCCGGGTTTGTGAGGATGTCTCAAGCGAGGGCGCCGGTTTGGGATTCGTCGGCGGATCCACCGGATCCAGCGGATCTGTCCGGAAAAGGTGCCGGAGGCCGATCGGGATAATATTTTTTTTATTTTTTATCTTTTTTTTTCACTTTTTTTTCTTTGTTTTTCTTTTTTTACATTTTTTTTTTCTGTTTTTTTTTGTTTTTTTTTTTTTTTTTTGTTCTTCTTTCTGGGCACCTCCCCGGTGGCCGGTTTTGTGAGGATTGTCTCAAGCGAGGGCGCCTGTTTTGGGGATTCGTCGGCGGATCCACCGATTCCACCGGATCTGTCCGGAAAAGGTGCCGGAGGCCGCTCCGGGCTCCTCTGGGCACCTCCCCCGGGGCCGGTTTTGTGAGGATGTCTCAAGCGAGGGCGCCGGTTTGGGATTCGTCACTGGATCCACCGGATCTGTCCGGAAACGGTGCCGGAGGCCGCTCTGGGCTCCTCTGGGCACCTCCCCCGTGGCCGGTTTTGTGAGGATGTCTCAAGCGAGGGCGCCGGTTTGGGATTCGTCACCGGATCCACCGGATCTGTCCGGAAACGGTGCCGGAGGCCGCTCTGGGCTCCTCTGGGCACCTCCCCCGGGGCCGGTTTTGTGAGGATGTCTAAAGCGAGGGCGCCGGTTCGGGATTCGTCACCGGATCCAGCGGATCTAGTAACGGAACGCGTGCAGGGAGGAAGATTTTACTTTTTCTGCCTCTGGTTTTTGTTTCCTTTTTTTTTTTTCCTGTTCTCCTCTCTGGGTTTTCTTTCTGGGCTCCTCTGCGGCACCTCCCCCGGGGCACGGTTTTGTCGAGGATGTCTCAAGCGAGGGCCGCCGGTCGGAGCCCGCCGGCGTATTCCCACCGGATCCACCGGATCTGTCCGGAGACGGTGCCGGAGGCCGCTCTGCTGGGATCGATGGGCCGTTTTCTAGGTAGGTGTGTCGGTTACAAATATCTATAACAAAGTTGCAACAAGGCTATAACATCGTTGTAATTTGCCAAAGGCCGTTGTATATGGTGTAAGTATTTCTGCGTTGGGGCTATGTAGATCGCACGTTTGTTTCAGGATTAGGAAGTATTGGAACATATTCTTGTGGATGTTATTATACTTAGGCGAAGTGAGGTTTTCAAGTTCCTGAGGTCAGCACGAATTTAACAACATGGTCACATATATGTTGGACCCCCCTGGTAAGTTATGTTGAAAGGGGTTCGCTTGCTTGCAAAACGGGAACCTTGACGAGTCTGAGGCCGCGTTTCTTCTCAGGGCGGTGCCCCCCCTCCTCACCGCAGCCCTTTCGGTCGAGTTGTTTGCTGGCAGCGGGGAGGCCCGTTTGAGGACAACGATGGCGTTGGATGCCATCGAAGCAGTTCGCTCTGAGATCGAGGATTGTCTTTTTAGTTACAAGCATGACGACTCGAAGCAGATCAAGACAGTGGGTGATTCCGTCGTCCAGACGCTCTTGAACAACAATCTTGCATATCTACAGATATGCGATATCGACGAGATAGGAGTCAGCAGCATGAACAGGGACGGTCTAGGACTCGACGTCGTCGACGTCCACGAGCTCATCCCAAAGATTTTGGAGAGCGGGTGGAGCCTCTTCGAGGTTGCCGCGGCCACGCTGTTTTGAAATGCCCCCTGGAGAAGCAGGAAAAGCCGAGGCTGCGTTCAACGAGAGAATTGTCAAGGAGTCCGAGGGGTATTTGGCACCGTTCGTCAAGCCCATCCATTTTTTGACGGTGTCGAGCAGCCGCACCGTCGCTGGATGCCGCGCCACGAAGTGCCCTTGGGGGGCGCGTGGGGGAGGGGATGGGGGGGGGCTCACGGCAGAAGCCCTTTGGTCTGCCAGACCCGCCCCCTCCTCAGGACGAACGCCCGCGGAGGTGAGAATGTATAAGGGCCCATGGCCCTTGTACATTCTCACCCGCCCTCCCCCCCTTGCTCCTCTGACCCGCCCCCCCTTCCAGCAGGTACGCTTGCAAGACCAACCAGAAGGAGATCGCCAACGAGGACGGGACCATCAATCGGGACAAGGTTTTCCACATGGCCCCGAGCTACATGCAGCCCATTCAGAAGGGCATCCAGTTCACAGTGATACGATGGGAGGTGTTGGCCGCGTTCCCCGATCTCGCGGACCTGCTTCAGCAAGCAGGCAATCGAGGTCACGATGCACACCAGCAGCTTGGACTGGTGCAGGTTCTTCGTCAGATCCACGAGCGCGCGAAGCTCTACAAGACTGGGAGCGCGATCGATTGGCCGAAGGTGTCCTGGGAACCCGCGGGAAACTCGCCCCTGGAGATGCGTCGTAGGTTTTCGGGAGGTGACCCCAGCGGAACGCGATAGGCGCACGTGCGCGGCAGACGCCGCGCACGTTTGCTGTCGTGAGCCGATGGGATCACCTCCGACAGGTGCAGCTCATGGTCAGCCAGAAGGCGCCGCACATGGAGGACGCGATCGAGGACATGTGCACATTCGTTGGCAAGTACGGCGGCGGCGCGACCCCGAAGTTCATCAACGCCCTCGAGCAGTGGAGCCGATCGCTGAATTCTCGGCGAGCCGCCCACAACTCAACCTCCAAGGCTCTCGGCGCCCTCGACTTCAAGCAGTGCCCCGAGCACCCGTGGATGATGCTCAAGGCTGCCATGAGCGCCCCAGATGGCCCCTGGATGCGCGACGGGCAGTCTCGTCTGATATCGTCTGCTGACGCAGCCCAGGTCATTGGCTCCAAGAAGTCGCTCTGCGTGGCTGCCACATCCTACATGCGGGTCGCCGTCGACTGGTGCACCGAGAAGGTCGAGGAGTACGACCCCGTGGAGTTCGCCCAGGTCGTCGGCCGCTTCGAGGTTGACGCAGCGATGTTCATCCACGGGAAGAAATGCAAGGACTTGGTAAAAGCAATCGCGCAATCAACAACCAGATCCTCCCCCTCCTCCTCCTCCCCCTCCTCCTCCTCGCCCATCCTCCTCCTCCGATTCCTCATGTTCCTCATCTTTCTTCTCCTGCTTCCCCTCCTCCTCCTCAACCTCCCCCTCCCCCATCCTCCCTGCCCCCGCCGCCCCGACTGCGAGGAGGTGGTGTTAAGGAGGAGGAGGTTGGGGGCGCGGGCGATGTGGCCACGGCCACCACATAGGCCCACCCCCTCCCCAACCATAGGGGGGCCAAGAGGCACCCAGAAGCTACCGCTCCCACATCCCCCCACCCCACCCCCGAGGAGACCATGACATCCCCCCCAAGAGGCCACGCCGCCCCTCCCAATGAGGCCCCAAAGGGCCCCCGAGAGGGGCTAACAAAACCCCCCCCA